CTTCTTCTTCTTCTTCTTCTTCTTCTTCTTCTTCTTCTTCTTCTTCTTCTATGATTTATCCTCCAGTCCCCTAATTTAGTTAACCTGTTCCTTATTTTTGACAATTATGAGTGAGTCCCACAGCCAACCTAATCTTTCTCCTAGAGAACTGGGACTGTTATCACAAGGATTTGATTCTCATAATTTTCTTGAAAGGTAAACCAGCTTGAGAACGTGACCTCTGTCAAGTTTTCATGGTTGATTTAGATTTCAAAGTGTGTCCTCCTTCAACACGGTTGTTTAGGATGTCCTGTGAACTGAAGAAGTTTCTTGGACGAGAAGCGAAACGTCTTCAAGGAAAAAAACAAGGAAGCCCAGTTGCCTCTCGAAAATGCACTTTTGGGACAACCATGGATGCCTGAGAATCTCCGTAGACATTTAGGATGTACCGTTTGCGAGATTTTTCCTAAAAACTTTTCCCTGCCTCGATTCCCCTTAATTCAAATAGCCTTTTACTGCACACAGGGACTTACAAAGTCCTTTCGTTGCCAGGGGCATCCAACCCACCACAAAAGACACAAGAAGTTTTCCCCGCAGAAATAAAAACCGAGCGGGATTCCTTGAAGGGAAAAATATTTCATTTGCGTTTAATCGGATTGATAAGCAGAATTAATAGAAAATCAATTAAAGAAGCCACGGCGGAATAACGCACTTACCCTTCAGCCAAGAAAGGAAGATTATCCACCTCAAGCTTCCCTTAAAAAGCACCATTGTCGCTTGCCAAAGAAAGTGTGTGTGTGTGTGTGTGTGTGTGTGTGTGAGTGAGTGAGTGAGTGCATCGGTGTGTGCATTTGTGCATAAGCAATTGGCCAGGGGGGTGGGGGGGAGGCAGTTTATAAAAGAACAAACTGTACAGCAAAAGAGAAACCCAGTGAGTTTCCTTTCAGTCCCCAAACTGGCAGCACTTTAAGAAAAAAAATGTTAAACAGCAAAATGCATCATTTAAGAAAACAAAATACACCGCTCAAAAAAATAAAGGGAACACAAGCAGAAGACATCTGAGATCTGAATGAATGAAATAGCTTTGTTAAATACTTTGTTCGTTACTGTTGTGGCTCCGACCCCCGAGGCCGACTTATCGGAGGGAGAAGGCTCCGAACATGAAGGAGAGGAGTTGGCCAGGCCTCCCTCTCCAGGACCCTCCTCTCTGGCAATGCCTCAGGTGTTTCCCGTAGGAGAAGAGATTGGCCAGGAGCCAGGTATCTCCTCACAGTCGGACAGTGAAGGAGATAAGTCTTGGCTGGATCCACGCCAGCATTGGAGAGACAAGCGCACGCAACAGAAAAGGAGGTGTGCCAGAGATTAAGCTGAGTCCCCACACACCACAGGGGATATAAGGGGGTGAGGTGGCCATTCAGACTCTGTGATGGACAAAACTAACTACTATCGAGTCACATTGCATCTTTGGAAACAACGTTATCTGCCTTGGATTTAATTACAGACTGGACTTGACAATTCTTGAACTGTGTGAATCTTGTTTATGAGTAAAGTTCTTGGCAAGCAGCTACTGGGTTGCTGCCAATCCTCTTATCGAAAGAATTTGTTGTCTGTCAGTTTATTTAACCCCTGGCTGTCTGTTTGCGTGCATGTGTGAGACGGGGACAGAACAGTTACATACAGTAGTTTTGTGTTCCCTTTAGTTGCTTGAGCAGTGTATAAACTACTGTATGTAAAGAACAAAGTATTTAATAAGGCTATTTCATTCATTCAGATCTCGGATGTCTTCTGCTTGTGTGCCCTTTTTTTTTTTAAGCAATGTATTTTGGGGGGCGTGGAATGAGAAGAAGAGCAAGAGGGGAGAGTCCCATCGGAGAAAGAGATTGGTGCTATGGGAGGCAGGGAGGGGTAGAACTGGGAAAAAGGTGCCAATTTTTCATTGTGTGTGTTTTGTCGTCCTTGGTACTAACCGAGCTTGGTGGGTTTTTTGGAGTCGTTTCATTACCCAACTAGGTAACATCACCCGTGCTAGAAGGGAATGGGATTGGTGGAGAAGAGAGGAAGAGGAGGAGGAAGAGGAAGACTCTGAGGTCCTAAGTGATCTCTGAGCTAGGTGGTTTGCTTCAGAGGTGGATTTCAGCAGGTTCTGACCAGTTCTGGAGAACCGGTAGCGGAAATTTTGAGTAGTTCGGAGAACCAGTAGTAAAAATTCTGACTGGCCCCGCCCCCATCCATTCTCTGCCTCCCAAGTCCCAGCTGATCGGGAGGAAATGGGGATTTTGCAGTAACCTTCCCCTGCCACGCCCACCAAGCCATGCCCACCAAGCCACACCCACAGAACCGGTAGAAAAATTTTTTGAAACCCACCACTAGTTTCCTTGCAGACATTTTATTACCTAACTAGGTAACATCATCAGTACTTGATTAGAGTGGGTTTGAGGAAGTAGGGGGAAGGAAGAAGACTGTGAGGTTCTTAGTGTTCTCTGAGCTTGGCTGATTGCCTGCAGACGTTTTGTCACCCAACTAGGTAACATTAACATTAGAAGAGCCTTGGTGGCGCAGCAGACTAAAGTGCTGGTAAGTAGCACCAGCTGCCTGAAATTACTACAAGTTCAAATCTCACCAGGCTCAAGGTTGACTCAGCCTTCCCTCCTTCCGAGGTAGGTAAAATGAGGACCCAGATTGTGGGGGCAATAAGCTGACTTTGTATAAAAAAAGAACACCGCTTGGGGGGGGAGACCGAAAGCCCTACTAAGCAGGTATATACAAAAGTATGAAGGCTATTGCTTAACGCATTGTAAGTCTCCGGAGAAGGACGGCATTTAAATCGAACCAATAAATAAATAATAAATAAATAAACATCGTGAGTGCTAGAAGGGAGTGGGTTATGCTCTCTGTTTATATATTAATGGCTCATTCTGTCAGTTTTGGTGCAAGTGTTATTGTTGGTGCCTTGAATAGGCTGTTTGAGTGTTTGTCTCAGTTGATAGTTCCTTGATTGGGATATTGTCTACTTCTTGATTGTTGGGGGAGGAGGAGGAGGAGGAGGAGGAGGAGGAGGAGGAGGAGGAGGAGGAGGAGGAGGAGGAGAACTGTTGGCTCTTTGGGGCTCTCTGAGCTTGGCTTTTTTCTTGCAGACATTTCATTACCAAACCAGGTAACATCATCCATCATAGCTGGCTGGGGAATTCTGGGAATTGAAGTCCACTTCCCCTAAACTTGCTAAACGTGAGAAACACTGCCAGATTTCACCAGCAGAGACCTCCCCAACCTCACCATGGACTTCTGCTCCCTGTGGCTTTGCGTGCAGTTGATTATTTGAAGCCATTTCTGCCTTCGACCACCCGCTCCCAGGACTCCCTCCCTAAAGTGTCTTCTTCACCCTTCCTCTCTCCCTCCCCTCACCAGTTATTTCAATGCCCCGGCTATCCTGGCGCATTGCCATCTGGGCAACGGGATTGCATAAGTATCCTTGATCAGCTGAGCTGGACGGAGCAGCAGGCGAGAGGACGCTGGCTTTGGCCCGAGAAGGCAGGGCTGAAAAATTGCAAAAACAAAAACACCCTTCCAAGAAACGATTCCTAAATTAGGTCGCCCAAGGTAAACAACATCTGTATTCTGGTATGGTTGTTTCTATTCTCGCAGTAGAAGACGGAGCCAAGCGGTTCCGCATAAGGCTACTTAGTAGAATAACAGAGTTGGAAGGGACCTTGGAGGTCTTCTAGTCCAACCCCCTGCTTAGGCAGGAAACCCTTATACCATTTCAGACAAATGGTTGTCCAACCTCTTCTTAAAAACTTCCAGTGTTGGAGCACTCACAACTTCTGGTGGCAAGTTGTTCCACTGATTCATTGTTCTAACTGTCAGGAAATTTCTCCTTAGTTCTAAGTTGCTTCTCTCCTTGATTAGTTTCCACCCATTGCTTCTTGTCCTGCCCTCAGGGGCTTTGGAGAATAGCTTGACTCCCTCTTCTTTGGGGCAGCCCTTGAGATATTGGAAGACTGCTATCATGTCTCCCCTAGTCCTTATTTTCATCAGACTAGACATACCCAGTTCCTGCAACCGTTCTTCATATGTTTTAGCCTCCAGTCCCCTAATCCTCTTGGTTGCTCTTCTCTGCTTTCTTTCTAGAGCAGTGGTTCTCAACCTGTGGGTCGGGACCCCTTTGGGGGTCGAATGACCCTTTCACAGGGGTCGCCTAAGACCATCAGAAAACACACATTTTCAGTGGTTTTAGGAATAATTTTATGGTTGGGGGTCACCACAACATGAGGAACTGTATTAAAGGGTTGCGACATTAGGAAAGTTGAGAACCACTGTTCTAGAGTCTCCACATCTTTTTTACATCGTGGCGACCAAAACCGGATGCAGGATTCCCAGTGTGGCCTTACCAAGGCATTAGAAAGTACTCAAAAGCCTCCCCTTCAGAGCTACAATTGAGACTCCGATTCTGTTTGTAAAAAAAATAATAATTTTATTAAACTTATTGAAGTACAGTTCGTCCTCAACGTACGGCCACAACCGAGCCCAAAATTTATGTCGCTAGGTGAAAAAATTTCTTAATTTGAGAAATTGTCGCAAAAAATGGAGTTTTGCGACTTTTCCCATCACTACATCTGTTGAGCAAATCACTGCAATTCTTAAATTAGTCACAGAGCCATTAAGCGAATCCGGTTTTCCCCGTTGACTTGGCTGCTCAGAAAGTCACAAAAGGGGATCATGTGACCCCCGGGACACAGCAACCGTCATAAATACGAGTCAGCTGCCAAGGGTCTGAATTTTGATGACGTGACCGTGGGGATGCTGCAACGGTCGTAAGTGTGAAAACTGGTCTTAGGTCACTCTTTTTCAGTGCCGTTGTAACTTCAAATGGTCACTAAGTGAACTGTCGTAAGTGGAGGACTACCTGTATAAAATACAAATGAAAGGGGAAAAATGAGGACAGGACAAGAGGGAGAGAGAGAGAGAGAGAGAGAAGGGGGGAAAAGGAAAGAAAAGCATTGACTTCCGACTGTTTTTAGTGCAGTAGAATAAAATTGTAACAACTTTTTACTTGTACGTGCTTTATACAGGTAGTCCTCGAATTACGACCACTCATTTAGTGACCATTTGAAGTTACAACGGCACTAGAAAAAGTGACTTGTGATCATTGTTCACACTTATGACTGCTGCTGCGTCCCCACAGTCACGTCATCAAAATTCAGACGCTTGTCAACTGACTCGTATTTATGACGGTTGCCGTGTCCCGGGGGGGGGGTCACGTGATCCCCTTTTGCAACCTCCTGACAAGCAAAGTCAACGGGGAAGCCGGATTCACTTAACAACCGTGTTACTAACAAGAACTGCAGTGATTCACTTAACAACGGTGGTACGATCGGTTGTAAAATGGGGCAAAACTCACTTAGCAACTGTCTCGCTTAGCAACAGAAATTTTGGGCTCAATTGTGGTTGTAAGCCGAGGAATAAAATAATAATATTATAGCCTCAACTTTTTACCTTTAGGTCAGGGGGGTCAAACTCGATTTCGTTGTTTGATACCCCTGCATTAGGGTTGTGTTTGAACTTGGAGGGCCGGGGGTGGGAGGGGCCAGAGTGGGTGTGGCCAGGGTGGGCATGACACAGGATTCGTATCAGGGTCACCTGTGGTGGCCAAGTGCTAAGGCAGGACTTCCCTGACTTACTCCCTCACTCTCATTATAACCTTCCTTCCTTCCTTCCTTCCTTCCTTCCTTCCTTCCTTCCTTCCTTCCTTCCTTCCTTCCTTCCTTCCTTCCTTCCTTTCCCTACCCTTCCCTTCCCTTCCCTTCCCTTCCCTTCCCTTACTTCTTTTTCCTTCCCTCTTCCCTCTCCTTTCTTCTTCCTTCCTCTCTTTCCTTCTTTTTCCTTCCTTCCTCTCTTCTAATCTTCCCTTCTTTTCCTTTGTCTTTCCTCCTTTCCTTTCTCCTTTCCTGTCAATTCTTGCATGCTCAAATGCAAAAGGGGAAACATTTCTCCTTTTGTTTTGTTTTTAGCTTCTTTTGATAGCCCTCTGCCAGCGAAAACGGAGCGTGGTCTCCCTGCGCCCCGTTTTTGATGGCAGAGGCACCACGAGCCAGTCCTTTGCTATTTCTAGGCCAGCCCCGCGGTCCAGATCTAAGCACCTCACGGGCCAGATTTGGCCTGCGGCAGTGGTGGGTTCCTACCGGTTTACCCCGGTTTGGGCAAACTGGTAGCGGCGGTGGTGGGAGGCCCGGACGTCTCTGCACATGCGCAGAAGCATCGCACGAGCGAGCAAGCGCCCACAAGCAAACTGGTAGCGACGGGATTTGAAACCTGTAATGTATATAGTTTTGGTGGGAAAGTTTGAATCTTAATTGCTCTATTCTGATTGGCTAACTGCCAGGACTGTAAGGTATATAAAGGGAGCTGTTTCCCTGGGTCAGTTGCTGAATTCACACCATGAAGTAAAGAGCTGTTGTTACTCACGACCTGGCCTCTGTGTCCTCATTCACCCCACATAACAAAACCCACTACTTTTTTTTTTTTAATTTGATTTATATGCCGCCCTTCTCCGGAGACTCGGGGCGGCTTACAAGGCGCTAAGCAATAGCCTTCATCCTTTTGTATATTTATACAAAGTCAGCTTATTGCCCTCACAATCCGGGTCCTCATTTTACCTACCTTAGAAAGGATGGAAGGCTGAGTCAACCTTGAGCCTGGGGAGATTCGAACTCACTTTAATTGAAGACAGCTGGTATTAAATTACAGTGCTTAGTCTGCAGAGCTATCCAGGCTCCTGAGCTTGAGTTTGACACAGGGGTGAAATCCAGCAGGTTCTGGAGAACCGGTAGGGGAAAACTTGAGTAGTTCAGAGAACCGACAAATACCACCTCTGGCTGGCCCCAGAGTGGGGTGGAAATGGAGATTTTGCAATATCCTTCCCCCTAGAGTGGGGAGGGAATGGGGATTTTGCAGTATCCTACCCTGCCACGCCCACCAAGCCACACCCATAGAACCGGTAGTAAAAAAAATTGGATTTCACCACTGGTTTGACACCTCTGCTTTAGGTGCTTAATGTGGATTGGCCATAACTGTAACAAGAAACTCATCTAATCATCAAAACCCAAAGTCAAAATTCCATTTTTCTTTTCCCCTCAAACCCAGAATCCAGATTGAGCCACCGGTTCTACCGAAATGAGGAATCAGCCCTTCCATCGTCGAGGGAAAGGAGAACGGCTGGAGAAGGAGCAGGAACCTAGCCAGATGCCTCCAACATCCTCACCGTTTCATCGTGCTGCGTGCCCCTTACTCACAACGGGTTTATTTCTAATAGTGGTAGCATTGGGGTGTTCCTATGTCGTTCTTTTCCAAACGACAGACAGAATGAAGATTGAGAAGTTGGAGCTACGAAAGGATGGGTTCACCATCAAGAACCGGGATGGAGACGTCATCTTCAGGTTGACCTTTCAATCTGGTGTCCTTGACCTGGAGTCCTGCTTCCAGGAAACAGACCTGTTGACTTGTTCCAGGACAGATAAAAGAAAGATTCGTTTCATCATCAGAGCGATTAAACCAAAGAGGTCTGTGAGCTGTTACTCCATCACCTGGGAAGAGTTTCTAGCAGACACGGTGGTGGACCACAGAATGTTCTGGGGAGATGCCTCCTGGTATGGAGGCTACGAGATGAGCGTCCAGCATTGGCCAATCAAGTTGCCAGGATACCAGGAACCCATGCCTTACGTGACCAGCGATGTCTATTCTTTTCGGAACAACTTCGGAGGTGTCCTGGAGAGATATTGGTTGTCCTCCAAAGCAGTAGCTGTCAAGATCGATGACTCGGTTCCTTTCCACCTTGGCTTCAACGCCACAGAACCATCTCTTGTTTTCCAAGCCAAGTACAAAGATTCTCCATATGGTTCTTTGCCAGAGAATCAAGCTTTTCCAAGGTTATGTTATCATATCTGCACGGCTCCCGATATGACTTCCACCCATAAATATGTGTCACAGCATTATTTCAGGAAACCTTTGAAAGTCCCTTCAGAACAGATGTTTAGGTTCCCAATCTGGTCCACCTGGGCCCTTTATAAAAAAGAGATCGATCAAAAGAAAGTTCAGGAATTCGCCCAAATGATCCTGAAACACGGATTTAAAGCCAGCCATATTGAAATCGACGACATGTACACGCAGAATTACGGTGACTTTGACTTCGATGTCTTGAAGTTTCCTCGCGCAGCAGAAATGTTTGAAAAGCTTAAGAAGGACGGGTTTAACGTTACGGTTTGGATCCACCCGTTTGTCCACGAGAAATCACCAAACTTTAAGGAAGGAATCGAGAAAGGATTTTTTGTCACGCAAAGAAACGAGGGATCCCCTGCCATGGTGAAGTGGTGGAATGGAATTGGCGCCATTTTGGATTTCACCAACCTTGCAGCCCGAGATTGGTTTCACACCCACTTAAAGGAACTTGGCTTAAAATATGGCATATCCTCCTTCAAGTTTGATGCCGGGGAGACGTGCTACCTTCCCAAAGAGTTCACCACCTTCCAACCTCTTCTGGATCCCAGCACCTGGTCCAAGAATTATGCAGAAATGGCCAGCCCTTTTTATGAATTTGCAGAAGTTCGTGTGGGTTACCAGACCCAACACATCCCGTGTTTCGTTCGTATTATTGACCGGGATTCCATTTGGGGATACGAGCTTGGGCTAAAATCCATAATTCCCACAGTTCTAAGCATTGGCCTTCTGGGATACCGTTTCATCCTACCAGATATGATCGGTGGAAATTTTATTCCAGATAAAACCGACGGGGCTCTGGAAATCCCGGACCGGGAACTCTACATCCGTTGGCTGGAGTTGTCCGCCTTCATGCCGTCCATGCAGTTCTCCATCCCGCCTTGGCTCTACGATAAGGAGGTCATCGAAATCGCCCTGAAGTTCACCAAGCTTCACGAGTCCTTGGTGGCCCCTCTCTTGCTGGAACTGGCCGGCGAGATCACCAACACCGGGGATCCCATCCTACGGCCGATCTGGTGGATCTCTCCCGGGGACGAGTCTGCTCACAAGATCGATTCCCAGTTCCTCATCGGAGACACCTTGATGGTGGCCCCTGTCTTGGAGATGGGGAAACAGGAACGAGATATCTACATCCCGGCGGGCAAATGGCGGAGTTACAAAGGAGAGCTGTTTGAGAAGACTCCCACCTTGATCACGGACTACCCCGTGGATCTGGATGAAGTGGCTTATTTCTTTTTGGATCCTTAAATCTCTCCAGGCCAAACTGTCCCAAAGGTGCTTTTTGAGGAGGCAACGGGACTTTCTAGTTTTTTTCTTTTGAAGACACTTCGCTTCTCATCCAAGAAGCTTCTTCAGCTCTGACTGGATGGTGGGGAATGGAAGGATTTATATTCTTTGCAGACAAAAGCTGGTCATTTGCATCCTTTTAGCAAGTCGTTAAGGCCACTTGGAGTCTACCTCCAAGTAGACATGATAGCAGTGTTCCAATATCTCACGGGTTGCCACAAAGAAGAGGGAGTCAAACTATTCTTCAAAGCAAAGAGTGTAGAACAAGAAGCAATGGGTGGAAACTAATCAAGGAGAGAAGCAAGTTAGAACTAAGGAGAAATTTCCTGACAGTTGTCTGCAGAAGTTGTGAATGCCCCAATACTGGAAATTTTTAAGAAGATGTTGGATAACCATTTGTCTGAAGTGGTGTAGGGTCTCCTGCCTGGGCAGGGGGTTGGACTAGATGACCTCCAAGGTCCCTTCCAACTCTGTTATTCTATTCTATTCTATTCTATTCTATTCTATTCTATTCTATTCTATTCTATTCTATTCTATTCATCCCAAATTGCATGGCTAAAAGTCTGTAGAGATTCTCTGTCATCCAGGCCATGGTGGTCCCAAAGGTGCTTTTCTCAGGAGGGAACTGAGTCCCTACTATCCAGTCAGAGCTGAAGAAGCTTCTTGGATGACCAAAAAACCAGAAAGTCCAGTTGCCTCCTCAAAAAGCACCTTTGGGACAACCAGGACCTGGATGACAGAGAATCTCTACCGACTTTCTCCAGACCAAAATAGATTGAAATTCTCTTAGAATCATGGCAAAGGAAGAGGGCATGTCATTCAATCTTCAGATGACATGGACTGAACTCAAAATGTTTATTTTTAGATGCAGAATGGTTTTTTTGCCGGCAATTATTTTTCTTAACACATGGCAGATGCCCTTCTGGTGTGCCTTTTCATTCTGCTGAACCTTCATGGCTTACAAGCTGTTTGTCTCAGCTGTCCATGATGGGGAAGAAGAATTGTTATCTTCGCACAGCAGATGGGACAATCAAGACCAGGGTGACTAATCAGGGAACAGGTAACAAGGAGAGAAGGACAAATGAATGTCATGAGACCTTCATCTCAACTTCTTCTCTGGGAATATTTTGGATTTTTTTTTTCCCCCGGGGAGACATTAGGTCTCTAGGTATCATCCTCAGGCTAGAAGGGAGAGGGGTTTCCACGCTCTTTATGTACCAGTGGCTTGCCCTGGGAGGGTTGGTGGGAGGGTTGGTAGGCATTCCTTGATTACGGCAGGGGTGGGTTCCAGTGGTGGGTTGCTCCCGGTTCGGTCCGGTTCTATACAACCGGTAGTAAAACCGGCAGGAGGCTCCACCCACCCGCCACGATGTCATCATGGTTGATCTGCGCATGCACAGAAGCAAGTGCACACGAGCGCTCTCATTGCGAACCGGTAGTAAAGGTAAACAGAACTCACCAGGTCACCCATGATGACATTGTGGCAGGGGGGTGCGGAGCCTCTTGCTGATTTTACTACCGGTTTTATAGAACCGGACCGAACCGGGAGCAACCCACCACTGAATTACGCTGTTGTTTACTGCTTGGTGGTTGATCTGGTATTATAGATAGATAGATAGATAGATAGATAGATAGATAGATAGATAGATAGATAGATGATTGAGATAGATTAGATTAGATAGATAAATAGATAGATGATTGAAATAAATTAGATTAGATTAGATTAGATAGATAAATAGATAGATGATTGAGATAGATTAGATAAATAGATTAGATAGATAGATAGATAGATAGATAGATAGATAGATAGATAGAGATAGATAGATTAGATAGATAGATGGATAGATGACAGATAGATGATTGAGAATGATAGATAGATAGATAGATAGATAGATAGATAGATAGATTAGATATAGATAGATAAGATAGATAGATAGATAGATAGATAGATAGATAGATAGATAGATAATAGATAGATGGATAGATAGATAGATAGGTGATGGATGGAGAGAGAGAGATGAGATTGGTATATAGATAGATACATGAGAGAAAGAGTGATGAAAGATGATAGAGCATAGATGATAGATGGATAGAGAGAGAGAGATGAGATCAATAGGTAGATGAGAGAGAGAGATGAAAGATAGATGAGAGAGAGGGAGAGAGAGAGAGAGAGAGATTGATATCAATAGAAGTGAATATTTGTAGCTCAGGGTTAAACTGTGGGGTCCTTGTTGCTCTCTGAGCTTCGTTCTTGTCTTGGGGATGTTTCATGACCCAACTAGGTAATATCATCAGTGCTGAGAGGGAGGAGAAGGAGGAGATCTGTGAGGTCCTTTGTGCTCTCTCAGCTTCATTGTATTCTTGCAGATGTTTCATTACCCAACTAGGGAGCATCATCAGGAGGAGGAAGAAGACTGTGGGGTCCTTGGTGGTCTCTGAGCTTCATTGTTTTCTTGCAAATGTTTCATCATATAATATCAATTGAGGTGCCATCATATAGATGAAAAAGAAGACTTTCTGATGATGCTCAAAGTTTGAGCCATTATCTTACAATATTTCAGCCACCAGCTCAAAACAATTATATTACTTTAATGGATAATTATTGCACTGCTAGTTTCCGTTGCTTGTATGATTGTTTCACTTTATTGTTTTATTGGGATTTTCGTTTTTATCGATGCACCATCACCGTATCCATTTGAATGTAAGCCAGATCTGCAATTTAGAAAAATAGCAATAAATGTGAAACATGCCAAAGAAAGGTTTTGGGACGTAGCTTATATTTCTAGAGACAGAGGGATTTTTGGTTCCAGACTCTGAATTTTTCACTTTCCACGAGAAGGTAGAAGAGAATGTAGAATTACATTTGCGGTTCAAAGAACAGATTGAACACAAAACAAAAATGTGAAGAGAGCCAGGAATCGTGTTCCCATCTGGAAATCTGGTTTCCAAATGTACATTGTATTAAAAATATTAACTAATATTTTAACGGAGAGATTATTCTCGCAGGAACTATCAACCAGGGCCCACGTCTTACAATGTCTTCAAAAATGGGTGCGTTATGTGCAAAATTTTGGGGAAGAATGGAATATAATGCGAAGGCTGTTCACACAATATCCAAGGCTACACTAGAATGCCTTTATGTGTCTGAGGTCAACATGCATTCTTTCTAGAGTCTCAACATCTTTTTTACATCATGGAGACCAAAACTGGATGCAGTATTCCAAGTGAGGCCTTACCAAAGCATTAAAAAGCAATATTAATATTTCGTGTGATCTTGATTCTATGCCTCTGTTGATGCAGCCTAGGATTGCATTGGCTTTTCTTGCTGCTCTTGCACACTGGTGGCTCTTATTTAAGTGATTGCCCACTGGGACGCCACAATCAGGGATGAAATGCTCCCGGTTCGGACCGGATCGCCCGATCCGGTAGCGATGGCGGAGGGTGGTTCGGAGAACCGGTAGCAAAAATCCCTGCCCCCCCACCATGCCCAGCTGAGCCGTACAATCATCAGAGGCTTTTTTTATATATATACTTTTTAAAGCATTTTTTCTACAACCTTTTCCGACGAAAAAATGTTTTTAAAAGTAAAAAAAAAAAAAGCCTCTGATGATCGTGCGGCTCAGCTGGGATCATCAGAGGCTTTTCAAAGCATTTTTTCCTGCAGCCTCTTGGCCGAAGAGGTGGTAAAAAAATGCTTTGAAAAGTCACTGACGATCCCAGATGAGTTGCCTGATCGGCAGAGAGGCTTTTCAAAGCATTAGAAAAAATGCTTTAAAAAGTTTTTTTTTTAAAAAAGTTGGCCACGCCCAGCCAGTCGCATTACCCCCCAAGCCACACCCACAGAACCGGTAGTAACAAATTTTACATTTCACCCCTGGCCAAGATCCCTCTCACAGTTACTGCTATTGAGTCAAGTTTCACCTAATCTGTACCTATATACTTGATTTTTCTTCCCTAAGTGTTAAAATTTACTTTTCTCTATACTGAATTTCATTTTGTTTTGGGCCCAGTGTTTAAATCTGTTGAGATCAGTGGTGAAATCCAATTTTTTTTTTACTACCGGTTCTGTGGGTGTGGCTTGGTGGGCGTGGCTTGGGCATGGCAGGGCAAGGATACTGCAAAATCTCCATTCCCTCCCCATTCCTGGGGGAAGGATATTGCAAAATCTCCATTCCCACCCCGCTCTGGGGCCAGCCAGAAGTGGTATTTCCCGGTTCTCCAAACTACTCAAAATTTCCGCTACCGGTTCTCCAGAACCTGTCAGAACCTGCTGGATTTCACCCCTGGTTGAGATCCACCTGTATCTTGAGCCTATCTTCTGGAGTGTTGGCTATTCCTGCCAGCTTGGTGTCGTCTGCAGATTTGATGAGTTCCCCATCTATCCCCTCGTCCAAGTCATTGATGAAGATGTTGAAGAGTCCTGAGCCTAAAACAGAGATTTGGGGTACCCCACTGCATATTTCCCTCCGTGTAGATGCAGTTCCATTGAGGACTACGCGTTGAGTGCGGTTGGTCAGCCAGTTTCGAATCCATCTGGTGGCGATGCTGTCTAACCCACATTTTTCTACTTTATCTAGTAGTAGGTTATGGTCTCCTTTATTAAATTAATTTTGTGAGTCCAAATTTCTGGAAAGGGATAAGTTGGGGAAAATTCAATTGACAAGCTACAATAGGTTCACCATGCAAACTGACTAACAAGGATATGGGGAAGTTGCCGATGTTTAATATTAAAGAGAAGAGGTTTATTTCTTCGCCCAAAGTCATTATTTCAAATCCCCCCCCCTCATTTTTATCCCAGTTCCAAAAGGAATCAGTCCAGGCAGTATTAACATTATTATTATTTATTAAACTTCTGATCCACCTGATAAGACAAAAGTTCTCTGGACAGATTACAAGTCTTCACCATTCACCATAAAAACATGAATGAATGATTCAACGGGGTTTTAATTGTATGACAAAGAAGGAAAATATATTCTTTTTTCCATTTTTTTTCTCCACGATCCATAACTGTACATACCTTCCCCTCTCCCCTTCCCCACTTGAATTGAATAGAATATTTTATTTGGCCAACTCTGATTAGACCCACAAGAAATTTCATTTAAACTAAAATGTCCTCTTCCCAATTCAGCACCTTCACACTTGTCCTCATCCTGCTCTTGGTTTCCTCAATCTTTTCTATTCCTAGACCAGAGATCTCCAAACTTGGTAACTTTAAGACATGTGGACTTCAACTCCCAGAATTCTTCAGTCAGCCATACTGGCTGGGGAATTCTGGGAGTTGAAGTCCACAAATCTCAAAAGTTGCCAAGTTTGGAGATCCCTGTCCTAGACGGTGATCTGTATTTCCTGTTGCATTGCTTTGTAAGTCCTAAATTTGCACAGTTGTAATAAGAAGCGCAGAACCTTAGACATGGGCAAGACGACAACAGGACATTACTGGTAGTCCTTGACTTACAACCAAACGTTTAGTGACCGTTCAAAGTTGCAATGGCGCTGAAAAACGTGACTTATGACCATTGCAGCACCACCACCACGTGATCAAAATTCAGATGCATGGCAAACGGTTCCTATTTATGACGGTCGCAGTGCCCCGGGGACAGGTAGGGAAGCCAGATTCACTTAACAACCGTGTTACTAATTTAACAATTTCAGTGATTGTCTTAACAATGGTGGCAAGAAAGGTCATAAAATTGGGCAAAACTCACAATGTCTCACTGAGCAACATCAATTTTGGGCTCAATTGCGGTCGTAAGTCGAGGACTACCTGTAATCTTCTCAGACTCCTTGCTGTCATCAAGGTACAATATATTTTGGATTTCAGCAATCTAATTATGATACCTTCTGCAGGAATGAAATGCGAGGGGAAGATTGTCAAGACATCTGAGGCTCAAGGAGAAATGAAAATAATACCTTTCATTCGTTTTTCCAAGGATGGCACAGTTACCCCAGAACGACAGGTAGGCCAAGGGGAAGTTAAATCTGAATTCCAGAATAATCAAATGAAGATTCTTGCCCAGTTTAATCAAAACGTGAATAGTATCTGGGCTGCACGAAGTTAACATTCATCGTCCAGAAAAAGAACTCATATTTCTCCCTTTTTGGTACAGCAAGAATTGGGTTATTCTATGGATGGAAGAGAATATTTGCAGCTCAGAGTTGGACTGAGGGATCCTTGGTGGTTTCTGAGCTTGGTTGTTTTTTTGCAGTCGTTTCATGGGCCAACTAGGTAATATTATCAGTGCTAGAAGGGAGTAGGGTTTGCAGAGAGGAAGAGGAGGAGGAGGATGGACTATGGGGCCCTTGGTGCTCTCTGAGATTGGTGGTTTTCTTGCAGCTAGGTAACATCATCAGTGCTAGAAAGAAGCGGGATTTATGGAGAGAAAGAGGAGAAAAAGTATTGTGGGGTCCTTGGTGCTCTCTGACTGTTGGGCCAACTAGGTAACATCATCAGTGCTAGAAAGGAGTAGAGTTTGCAGAGAGGAGGAGAAGGAGGAGGATTGTGTGGTCCTTAGTGTTCTCTGAAGTAGGTGATTTGCTTGCAGACTTTTCATTACCCAACTAGGTAACTTTATCAGTGCTAAAAGGGAGTGGGGTTTGCACTCTGTTTATGTACAAATGGCTTGTCCTGTCAAGTGTTGGTGCGAGTGTTGTTGTTGGTTCCTTGATTCGGTTGTTATATTGTTTGTCTGGGTTGGTAGTTCCTTGATTGGGATATTGTTTTACTTCTTGTTTGTTGGTCTAGTATTTATTTATTTTATTTTATTTTATTTTATTTTATTTTATTTTATTTTATTTTATTTTATTTATTTCTATACCGCCTTTCTCCCGTAGGACTCAAGGCGGTGTACAGTCAAGAAAAATATAGGTACACAAACATCATAAAATTGCCAGTTAAAATTATTATTATAACATAGTTTGGCCCAATTAAATAGAACTTAAAATTAGATAACATTTTAAAAACATTCACATGTTCATATGTTTAGCCCCGCCTGTTGGAACATCAGGGTTTTGAGGGCACGGCGGAAAGCACGGAGATCAGGGATATTCCGTATCTCCGGGGGCAGTTCATTCCAAAGGGTTGGAGCCCCCACAGAGAAGGCCCTCCCCCTGGGAGTCGCCAGTCGGCATAATTTGACTGACGGTACCCTGAGGAGACCCTCCCTGTGAGAACGAACTGGTCGGTGGGAGGCTATTGGTGGCAAAAGACGTATTAATCTTTGTGTTTATCTCTGTTTATCTGGGTATTGATCACTGGTAAGGAGGTGTTTTGGTCTTTTTGTTTCCCTTTTAGCTCTTTAATTATCTCTTTTGAATGGTGTGTAGATGCTATTTATCTCTATGTGCCTGTGGATCAACAGACAAATAAGGTAACAGAGCAACAGCCTAGTCAAGGAACTACTAAAAAGAAAACAACGCTCCCACCAACACCGACAGGCCAAACCATCTGTATACAAACAGAGATCCACCCTCCCCCCACCCTCCTGACACTGATATGTTCCCTAGTTGGGTCGTGAAACGTCTGCGAGAAAGTAATCAAACTCAGAGAGCACCGCGGTTCAACCCAGAGCTTCTAAATTTGAACTTACCAGATGTTGTGGGTGAAGTTCTAACTATATTGTGCATGGATGGATTTTTGTGGATTAATTACCTGGATAAGAAAGTCACCAGCAGAGGGAGGGACAAACAAATGAATCTCTCCCCAACAGGTAGCCTTCCAGATGTGTTGGAACAACAAGTCCCAGAATTCCATACAACTGAAGCAATCTCTAAAAGCCTTTGAGGTGCAAAACTGGAAAATATAAGGCGAATCCACACCCTTTCTATCTTTCCCAACGCCTAGAGCCAAGGAACCAGCCCAGGCCTTTAATCATGGGCAGAGGTAGGATTCAGCCGGTTCGCACAAGTTCAGGCGAACCGCTTATTAAATTATTTGAATCCCACCACTGCCTACGTGCCTAATTCATTCCTTGGATACCAGCCTCCTTCGAAAAAAGAGAGAGGGCGATATCCCCGCATTTCTATAAATATATCCCTGTATTAATTCGGTTTATTCCCTTTAGGAAAACAAAGCTCATTTCAAATAATAGCTTATTTTAAAACTTAAGGCTGGTTGTGCTGTAGGAGTCCACTGGGAGGGATTTGAAAAGTCAGGTTGGTAGTCCTGATCGTGTGAAACCCAGCTTTTTACATGCAGAGGTAGTCCTGGACTTACAACAATTCGTTTAGTGACCGTTCAAAGTTACAACGGCATTGAAAAAAGTGACTTATGACCATTTTCACCCTTACGACGGTGGCAGCCTCCCCTCGGTCACGTGATCAAAAATTCAAAGGCTTGGCAACTGGCATGTACTTATGACGGTTGCAGTGTCCTGGGGTTGTGATCCCTTTTTGCGACCGTCTGACAAGCAAAGTCAATGGGGAAGCTGGATTCACTTAACAACCATGGGACTGAGTTAACAACTGCAGTGATTCACTTAACCACAGTGGCAAGGAAGGTCGTAAAAAGAAGCAAAACGCATTTAACTGTCTCGCCTAGCAACCGAAATTTGGGGCTCAATTGTGGTCATAAATCAAGGACTACCTGTGTTGTATGTGTCACACGTGTAAAAAAATGAGGGATTTTTGATCATGTATGTGTGACTACCCTCTTGATTTTTTTTTTAACTTCTCCCTCCTGTAGATAGCCTTGGCTGGAGCAATATTAGATGCCTTCCCAATTTAAAGACAATACGGTTCATCCCGGTTGAGCTGACATTCTTACACATTTTCCAAAGCTTCTTTTAGCTGCTCTTTAAAACCCGTTTGGGAGCAAATTCTCGGCAGCTTGTAGTAAAATTCCTTCCCTTTTTCACACCTCATGATGTTAAACCATCCAGAAACACTTGAAGGTGAAATGACTGATAAATCACTCAAGAATTTTGGCATCCTAAGCCCCACCTTTGAAGAAAACGGAAGACAACTGTTTGAGTGCAAACACACACACACAATTCAGAAACAGTGGTTCTCAGCGTCCGAACGAGGCCTTTTGCTGCTGTGTGCAAATTTGGTGACCATACAGGTAGTCCTCGACTTACAACAATTCCCTTAGTGACCTTCAAAGTTATAACAGCACTGAAAAAAGTGGCTTAGGACCATTTTTTCACATTTATAACCGTTGCAGCATTCCCACAGTCGTGCGATAAAAGTTTGGATGCTTGGCAACTGGCATGTACTTATGACAGTTGCAGTGTCCCTTTTGCGACCTTTTGACAAGCAATAGCGAAGCTGGATTCGTTTAACAACCGCTATAAACTAATGGCAGTGATTCGCTTAACAATCAAGCCGAGAAATGTCGTAAATTGGGCCAAAACTCACTTAACACCAAACTGTCTCATTTAGTGACATAAATTTCGGGCTCAATTGTGGTCGTAAGTAGAGGACTACCGATATTTGTCTTTTAGCAGCCTGTTTAATCGCACGCCCGTTGTTCAGTTTTGATTTGAAGAATTAACGGGCAACCGTTGTCCTGTTTTCCCTTTCGACCTTCTGAACCAATTAGAATTATTTCTGGTTACGATGATCAGAATAAGGCAAGGTGACTCTTGTGATCAGTACACACGTCCACCGAGGCAGCTTAGGAGACCCAGACAAAGTAAGCCACTTCATCCAGATCCACGGGGTAGTCCGTGATCAAGGTGGGAGTCTTCTCAAACAGCTCTCCTTTGTAACTCCGCCATTTGCCCGCCGGGATGTAGATATCTCGTTCCTGTTTCCCCATCTCCAAGACGGGGGCCACCATCAAGGTGTCTCCGATGAGAAACTGGGAATCGATCTTGTGAGCAGACTCGTCCCCGGGAGAGATCCACCAGATCGGCCGTATGATGGGATCCCCGGTGTTGGTGATCTCCCCGGCTAGTTCCAGCAAGAGAGGGGCCACCAAGGACTCGTGAAGCTTGGTGAACTTCAGGGCGATTTCGATGACCTCCTTATCGTAGAGCCAAGGCGGGATGGAGAACTGCATGGACGGCATGAAGGCGGACAACTCCAGCCAACGGATGTAGAGTTCCCGGTCTGGGATTTCCAGAGCCCCGTCGGTTTTGTTGGGGAAGAAATTCCCTCCAATCATGTCGGCCGATATAAACGGATACCCCAACATGCTGATGGTCAGGACGGTGGGGATCAAGGACTTCAGGCCAAGTTCGTAGCCCCACACGGAATCCCGGTCAATGATCCTGAAAAAACACGAGATGTTCTGCGATTGATAGCCCACCCTGACCTCCGCCAGTTCGTAAAACGGAATGGCCATTTCTGTGTAGCGCCTGGACCAGACACTGGGATCCGACAAAGGTCGGAAGGTGCTAAACTGTTTGGGAAGGTAGCTGGTCTCTCCGGCATCAAATTTGAAGGAGGAGATGCCGTATTTATTGCGGAGTTGTCTCAGCTGGCTCTGGAACCAATCTCGGGCTGCAGGGTTGGTGAAATCCAAGATGGCACCGATGCCATTCCACCACTCCACCATGGCGGGCAGTCTCCCGGTGGGTTCTTTGATGAACAGCTGTTTCTCTATCCCCACCCCAAAATTCGAGGAATTGTAATTGATGAACGGGTGGGTCCAGAGGGTGATCTGAAAACCGTCCTCTCTGAGTTTCTTGAAGGTTTCAGTCATGTTGGGAAACTTGGCTGCGTCAAAGTCGAAGTCGCCGTACGCTTGGGTGTAGGTATCGTCAATCTCGATATGGCTGCAGTTGAACTTGTACTTCTTGATGTTTTCGGCGAAACGCAGGAGTTTCTCCTGGTCAATGTCATTTTTGTACAAGGCCCAGGTGGACCAGATGGGGTACCTGAAGGCGTTTCTTGAAGGTATCTTGGATGGCTTGTAGAAGTACTTCCGCACCATGTATTTGTGGATGGAGGTAACGTCGGAACCAATGCAGACCCGGTAACTCAGCTCAGGAAAAGGCTGCTGGCCCAATGGGGGTTTGTAAGGTGAGTCTTTATACCTGGCTTGGAAGACGAGGGAGGGCTCCGTGGCGTTGAACCCAAGGTGGAAGGGCACCGAATCGTTGATCTTGATGGCCGCAGCTTTGGAAGACAACCAGTACCTCTCTAAGATGCCTCCAAAACTGTTCCTAAAAGAATAGACATCGCTGGTCACAAAAGGCATGGGTTCCTGGAATCCGGGCAGCTTGATTGGCCAATGCTGGACGCTCATCTCACAGCCCCCGTACCAGAGGGCATCTCCCCAGAACATTTTATGATCCACCACCGTGTCCGCCACAAACTCTTCCCAGCGCACCCGGTAGCAGATCACGGTGTCCTTGGGGTTGACAATCTTGATGAAGAAGTTGACTTTCCCTTTGTCGGTCCGTGTGCAGGTTAAATTGGCCCCTTCCCTGGAACAGGACTCCAGGTCCAGAAGCCCTGACTGAAAGGCCACCTTGAAAACCAACTCGCCATCCTGGTTCTTGATCGTGAAGCCGTCCTGCCGCAAATCCATCTCCGCTGTCTTGAGCCTCTCTGCCTTCCGAAGGGATGCCACATAATAGCACCATGCTACCACGGCAGCAATGAACAAAATGAGGCCCACCACGATGGCACTGATCATGGGCTTCAGCTCTTTGGCTGGCTTCTGCTTCACCGGAGTGAAGTTCTCCGGCAGGAAGGTATACATCGTCCCCTCTTATGTCGGATTGCTTCCCAAGGCAGGGCCAGTCTCTGAGTTTGGGTGCCAGGCTGGAAACATAGATGCTGGGTGATGGTCTACCTTCACCTGCTTCTTCAGAAGTGGCCGGCCAGCTCATTCACCTCCTCCGACCAAGGCATTTGTCCTGTCTGAAGAAGGACACTGAACAGATCGCCATCATCTGCCAAAAAAATAAGAGGAAAGACAAAAAGCTGAAGAAGGTTGCAGAAAGGTCAGCCAGATATTCTTGTCAGACTACGATGCTATCTCAAAATTAAATGAATTTCCAAACTGCCAATCTTTAAGGAAATCTTTCTTTAATTGAGCACAGCCACCGGATCATGACTCCACACAGACAAGACTGACCTTTTGCCCCCCAATCCCTCCCTTTCCGATCCCCAAATCTCTGCTTCTCATTGGCTATCTTCCAAGTCATTCTTCAGACTTCTTTTCTTGTCATTTCCCAGGAATGTGCCCCCTCCCCTCATTTCCACGACAACCCGACTTCAAAGGGAATTGGCAGGCAAAAGTTTCAGAGTTTATCTCTCGCTCTCCCCTGCTCTCTATGCCAGCGTTGAAATGCTGACAATTCTCTTAATAGCCCATGTCATCTAAGACATCAGGAAGCAGAGTGGTGCGGTGGCCTAGAGGTGGAGCTCTCGCCTCGCAATCAGGAGGCTGTGAGTTTGATCCTAAGTAGAGGCAGATATTTCTCTCTCTGGGCATACTGAGAATATATCTGCTGAACAAAACTCCGCATTGGTGACAGGAAGGGCATCTGGCCATTAAAACACTCTGCTAGCTCCATTCAGTTGCCCAGACTCCACCCCGCAAGAAATTATGGGGTCATTAAATGAAGATGATGATCTAAGACATCAAGAAACAGTGATGTGTAACGTTTGAAGCAATGTTTGATAAAACTATGAGGACTTAAAAGTGGCCTGGACACAAACTACCTTTTTTCTTAACGCAAAACCACCCTCCTTGGGGTTAATTGTAAAGGTGGAAAATTGAAGGCAAGGAGGACTATGTGTGTCTCCATAATCTTTTGGAGGAAAACTGGATATAAACCAGCGAGAACAATTAACCAGTGGAACAACTTGCCTTCAGAAGTTGTGGGTGCTTCAACACTGGAAGTTTTATGCGCCTCGCCCCTGTGCATGCATGTGTGACCCCCCCTTCCCCCCGCTCCTGGCACGCGATGGTGAGGTAGGCCCGTTTTTCTTTCTCATCTAGTTCCAGGGCCTCTCTAGGAGTCTGGGGAGGGTGAAAACAGTCTTCCCCATCCCCCGGAGGTCCTCCGGAGCCTGAAAACGGTCCGTTTGACAACTTCTGGTGGGACATCCTGCCACAAATCCATCTCCGCTGCCTTGAGCCTCTCTACCTTCCGAAGGGACTGGAAGTTTCCCCACCCCGCCCCCAGGCCCTCCAGAGGCAGGAAACAGCCTGTTTCCCTACTTCTGGTGGGCCCAGAAGCTTGCATGCCCACTGATATGGCTACACGTGCCACCTGTGGCACACATGCCATAGGTTCGCCATTACGGGTATAGGGTCTCCTGCTTGAGCAGGGAGTTGGACAGGGGTCCCCAACCTGTGGGATGTGACTCACTAGTGGGCAGGGGTGGTATTCGCTGAGTCACATCGCGTTACCTGAAATCTGGCTTGTGCATATTTGGATTGGACCTTGGCTAACTCTTGCTTCGTGGATTACTTTTTGCTACTGAACCGGACTGAGGATAAACTCTCTCTTGCTTACTGTGAGTGAAAACTGACTTGGCAGGCATTTCGCAGTTTACTGCCAAAACTCTTATCTGCAAGGGTTTCTAGTCTGATTGCTTAATAAAATCTTGGCAGGGGTGCCTGGTTGTGTGTTTGCCTGTGTGGGGAAGGGGGACAGAACACCTCTGATGATCGCGCAGCTCAACTGGGCATGGGAGGGGGGCAGGGATTTTTGCTTCCGGTTCTCCGAACTACTCATCGCCATTGCTACCGGATCGGACGATCCGGTCCGAACTGGGAGCATTTCACCCCTGGTCCAGGATCTTTCAGCTAGAGCAGAGGTGTCAAACTCAAGGCTGGTGGGCCAGATTTGGCCTTCGGGGTGCTTAAATCTGCCCCACGGGGTCAGCCTGGAAATAGCGAAGGACCGGTCCACGGTGCCTCTGGCAGCCAAAATGGGCCAAGGTGGGGGGAGGCAGCTCCTGTGCAGCCCATTTTCAGCCTGGATGGCTTCCTGCAGCACTTTGCCAGCTAAAGCAGGGCACGGGGGCGGGGTGGGGGGGCGTACAGCCCCTGCATGGTCCATTTTGGACAGCAAAGTGTTGCAGGAGGCCGTCCAAGTTGAAAACGGGCTGCGCAGGAGCCGTCTGCGTGCCCTCCATGCCCCATTTTGGCCGGCAAATAGCTGCAGGCCATCCAGGCTGAAAACGGGGCACGGGCCCCCCGCATGTGACCATCTGTGCCCCGTTTTGGCCGGCAGGGTGCTACCGGAGGCGCCCATCCTGTCTCTCCCAAGTCCCCCACCCCCCCAGATGGCCCACGGAGGAGAACTACAATGCTGATCCGGCCCTCGAAGAAATCCAGTTTGACACCCCTGAGCTACAGCTATGAACGGTGATCTCGGCGTCTTCATTTTATGCTCATCAAAAACGGCCAAGTCACTAGGGACCAGAAACTTGCCAATCAGATTCCTTCTATAACTGGAAGAATGTCTGACCCCAGCATGTCTGAAATTTCTGCTGGACGTGGGGGGGACCCTCCCTGCAGGACGTCACAGCCAAATGCCACCAGGCAGAGGGGCTCAGTTGTCTTTGTGACACAACATGGTGTCTCCTCTTGGGACGATGTGGCTTCGCGCACTCTCGCAGCTGTTGCTCCGAACAGCAGCGACAGCAGCTGCCAAGTTGAGGGTGCTAATTCCATCCCACTAAGGCTGAATATTTAACTTTTCCACTTGGCTGGTGTCCTTCCTTTGGCCAGACACCAAGCTGAGTACAGAAATGGATTCTTGAATCATCAAGTCCTTGAAACATATGCCAACACTTCGGATGCCTTCACCCAACACCCTTAACCAGCTCTAGAGAAAACTTTAAAAAGTTTGCATTTATTCCACTCGGCTGTTGTTAGTCACGGCGGGAAGAATTTATAAACTTATAGGACTGTGTTTTTAGAACCCACCCCCGTACCAGAAGTTGGCAAACGGGCCGTTTCCAGCCTCCGGAGGGCCTCCGGGGGGGGAGGGGGGAGGCCATTTTCGCCCTCCCCAGGCTCCTAGAAAGGCTCTGGAGCCTGGGGAGAGAGAAAAACGGGCCTTCCCCACCACCCCCGGAGGCAGAAAACAGCCTGTTTCCCCTACTTCCAGTGGGCCCAGAAGGCTGGAAAATCAGCTGGCTGGCGTGCACATGCGAGCCGGAGCTGAGCTTGCGTGCCCACCAATAGAGCTACACTTGCCACCTGTGGCACACATGCCATAGGTTCGCCATATAGATGATAGATCAGTGTTCTCATTCATTTTAAGATGGGTAGACTTTGCTGGCTGGGGGATTCTTTAAAGCGCTCCATGGCATAGGACCCGGGTACCTTCGAGACCGACTTCTGCCACCAACGGCCTCCCACCGGCCAGTCCGCTCCCACAGGGAGGGTCTCCTCAGGGTGCCATCCGCCAAGTTATGTCGGCTGGCGACACCCAGGGGGAGGGCCTTCTCTGTGGGAGCCCCTGCCCCGTGGAATGAACTGCCCCCGGAAATGCGTAAGATCTCCGACCTCCGTGTATTTCGCTGTGCCCTCAAGACTCCGCTGTTCCGCCAAGCCGGGCTATCAATGTAATGATTTTTAAATTGGGTGTTTTAAATTTTGGGGTTTTTAAATCTGAGCCGAAATTATTTAATAATTTTAATTATTTTTAACTGATGTCTGTCTTTGTGTCTTTTAATAGGCTGTACACCACCCTGAGTCCTTCGGGAGAAGGGCGGTATAGAAATAAATTTATTTATTTATTTATTTATTTATTTATTATTTATTCTGAGAGTCAAAGCCCACCCATCTTAAAAGGTTGGGGAATTCTGGGAATTGAAGTCCATCCTCCTTAAGGATGCTGAGATTTTGAAACACTGCTTTAGGTTAAATCCAACAGGTGAAGACAAACACCCAATAATTTTTCACAAGTCCTGCCAGTATGGACTAAATAAAGCAGCCTAATTTTGCAACTTTTGGCCTGCTTCCAAGGAATTAGGATAGCATTAGAAGAGATCAGCCACCACAAAAGGGCAGATTCTGCCAACTAAATGCATGGAAGCCAAGTGCTATTAACACAGGGCTGGGCTGATGGTGAATAAGAGCACTGGGTGATTGTTCCAAAGGTGTCACCTCTGAAAAACTGCAATTAATTGCGATCTCATCAATTAACAGAATAATAGAATAGCAGAGTTGGAAGGGACCTCGGAGGTCTTCTAGTCCAAACCCCTGCTCAGGTAGGAGACCCTATATAGAATGGAATGGAATGGAATGGAATAGAATAGAATATAAAGTAATGCAATGGAATGGAATAGAATAGAATATAGAATAATGGAATGGAATGGAAAGAATAGAATATAGAATAATGGAATGGAATGGAATAGAATAGAATATAGAATAATGGAATGGAATGGAATGGAATAGAATAGAATATAAAGTAATGCAATGGAATGGAATAGAATAGAATATAGAATAATGGAATGGAATGGAATGGAATGGAATGGAATGGAATAGAATATAGAATAATGGAATGGAATGGAATAGAATAGAATATAGAATAATGGAATGGAATGGAATAGAATAGAATATAAAGTAATGCAATGGAATGGAATAGAATAGAATATAGAATAATGGAATGGAATGGAATAGAATAGAATATAGAATAATGGAATGGAATGGAATGGAATAGAATAGAATATAAAGTAATGCAATGGAATGGAATAGAATAGAATATAGAATAATGGAATGGAATGGAATAGAATAGAATATAGAATAATGGAATGGAATGGAATAGAATAGAATATAGAATAATGGAATGGAATGGAATGGAATAGAATAGAATATAAAGTAATGCAATGGAATGGAATAGAATAGAATATAGAATAATGGAATGGAATGGAATGGAATGGAATGGAATGGAATAGAATATAGAATAATGGAATGGAATGG